CCCCTCCCGCATGACTCTCGGCCACAACATCGCCTACCAGCACCAGAACTGGCCGCTCGGGGTTCTCGATATTCGTCACCCCAGTGTTGCTCCTGACGGTCCGTAATCCTACTCCCGTGCTCGCCCGCCCAAACGCATTGTTGCGGAAGCTCGCATACTGTACGTAGTATTCTGCTATCTGGATCTCGTCATGCCTCTCTGCCGAGCATATCTGACAGTCGCTAGACCACCAGCCGAGATGCACGAGCTGCGCTTCTCCCGTAATGAACGGTCGGACAATTGCACGGCTCTCGCTAACCTCGCGTCTTCCCTTGTCAGGCAGGGCAAGAGGCGTATTGCATATTGCATATCAGAAGACGACCGTTCATCTGGATGATGCGTGCCACCGTCCGGAGACCCACGGCAAGGTACCTGTGGCTGACGGCGACAATTGAGACGTCAAATTGAGCCTGTCACGACGCAGAACAGAAGCAGCACGCGTGACGACCTTGGGCACGCTGGACGTTCGTGCGGTCGTCCAGATTGTACATAGTGAGTTCTGCAGCCTCCTGTTGTGTTGTAGATACATCGGCACACTATGGACGACGGTCGTGGTCATGCTAGGATCCAACTGATTTCATTTTCGATCTATTACAGAGGCACAGCCGAGTTGGGCGTACGCAATCCTGCCATGCCTTCCCCTCGGCTCAATAACAACATGGACATTGACTGCGAGGGACAGCGCGAGTCACCGAATTTCGACGCGACGGCTATGCCTGTTCATCTGCCATGTACTGCAACGTGCCGGTCGACCACAAATACCTCTCCAGCAAACCGAGCCTGAGAGGTTGTAGCACAAATTGACCACAGTATTTTGGCCCACGCAACTGGGCTCGCGACCTTGCGCCAGGCCTACCCAACTGCACGTTTGGACCCGAGAGTCTGAGTGCCGCTCGGTCCCTCGGCAGTAGATCGCCATAACGGCTCCGGTCCAGGGACCATCCCATCAGTAAACGCACTGCGCCCACTGTGCCTGTACACAACTCGCACGCCCAGCAATCCAGACGTCAATCATCATCGGAAGATGGCATGTACAATGTGTCCACGTAGCACAGCGTGAGAGGACAGCGTAACGGGCTTCCCAGTAGAATACTGCGTCTACATGACCACTCATGCCACCCCGGCCCGTTCGCAGTCTGCCGGAGAGCCTGCGACGTGCGACGGGAACCCACCACCAGATCCTCTCCGAGATACAGGAAGCCCTGCGTGGCCGAGCACGCAACGCGGTGGGACCACTCAGGCTGCCGACGATGGACCCGCTTACTTGCATACGCAATGCCGGAGTGTCCCTACTGTTGAGGGGACGGACTCGAGATGGCGCGTCCGTCCATGGTAGCTTACGGATATTCCCCGTGAGGCACGACTCGGGAACCCGAAATTCAACATGGCAGTTTGGCCATGGTGTGTTGGCACCATTGGGTGCGCAATCACAGGAAGCCAGGAAGCCTGCGTCGTGCGACGGGAACCCAAAGCCAAATCCTGTCCAAGATGCAGGAAGCCCTGCGTGCCCGAGCATGCAACAGTTCGGGACCGTCCAGGCTGTCAACGATCTACCCGCTCAAGAGTCGAATGCCATGCCAGAATGTCCCCATGAACGTGGGGACAGAATAGGGATAGTCACCACACAGTACGTCACAATGACACCATCTGCGCAATGGGGGCTTCGTTCGCTAAACCCCTCACACGTCTGCAGCGTCCGCCCAGTCGTCTCGATCCTGCCGTCATGCAGACAAAGGTTATTGAGCATGCAACCGGCAAGCCCCTCCGGACTCGCCTTCAGCCCATGCCGAACATCCCGTCTTTGCCTTCAAGCGCCTCATCTCCCGCCGGTTCACCAAACCTGCCGTCTGCCTCAATGCACTTGTTGTCGCCAACGCCCACGTGCGGAAGTGGCCTTATGCAACCCTGTTCGCTCTGTTGATGCAGCCAAGCAATGAGCATACACCCCGACGTCAATATCGGCCACTCCGGCACAACAGTCCTCGGTCGCAGCCAGCGAAGTAACAAGCGGCAAATCCGACCATCGACAGCCGCGTTCACAAAGCATGGAGAGCATGTCACCCAGCCTCCCAAGCTGCCACCGGCTCTGCCACGTCCAAGCATCTCTTCCGCTGCCGCCGCGTCCGCAAACAATGTACATAAACTACAAACAAGCCTGAAGCGCATGACAGCGAGTACCGCACAACCCGCTCATCCCCGGCAGGCCAACTCTTGCCAGCGGACCAGCGGCCGCTCCAATTCACCTCGGGATCAGGACCCGGTGCCTGCGAGGGCAACTTTGACAGCGAACCAAAGGCGAACGGCATTCCCACTGGAGCCTGCGCCTGCACCGGATGAGACAGGGCGAGGCGACAACCTACTCCCACTGTCAACGTCAGCCGTGATTGACGGGTGGTGAGGGGGATACACGTACGACGTAGCGGGAAGTGAGAGCCGCACACGACATATGCTTGGACAAGGGGGAAACAGCAGTGAGCGCCGTCTGTTGTCTTCCCATCTGGGCTCCCCTTAGATCCTCCATCATCCCCACGTGGACATCGGATGCTAGCCGTTCTGGCCGTGCTTGGGTGCCGGATGTCCACCGTAAGTGTGGGGGAGCAGCTCACGACCCTGTGTGGGATAATGTGCGAGAGAGAGGCAGGGCCAGAGAGACGGCGTTATGAACACAGGCAACTGCCTACTGCTCGGCTCGATGCACTTCAATCTCACAGTCATCCGGCGATCAATGCTCGCCACACGGCCGATGTCCCTTGCCCTTCCGGCAGCTTGTCGTGAGTGGACTGTCATCACAAGCA